ACCAACGACTACAATGAAGACGCTAAAGATCAATCCTACAATAGGCTGCAGTCAATCGTCTAGAAGTGTCCAACAAAGGACTTGACCATTTTGATGTGACATTTCAATGCCAAGGTTGGAATGGACAACACCGATATGGAGACATCATGGGACGACACGGACTGCGAGAATGGAACGAAAATGATGAGAGATTTGCTATATTCCCACACAAACACATACACAAAACTACATAAATTTCAACAGATCACACTACACAGAAACAAATCCACCATAACTGAATCAACAAAACGTTCAGGAAGACGATGGAGAATGTGAGAACAAAAAGAGGAGCTGATATAGCATCAGATTATCACTTGCTGGTCGCCAAGATGAAATTGAAACTCAAGAAGCACTGGACAATGGGGCGGCCAATATCACAAAAGTTTAATACGGCCTTGCTTCGGGATACTGACAAACTCAACAAACTCAAGATAGACCTCAGCAACAAGTTCCAGGCCTTTCATTATCTACTCAATGGAGGGGGGACTACTGGGGAGAACAACTGGCGAGGGATATAAGTGACAATCACTTCAATATGTCATGAGGTTCTGGGCCACAAGAAGCACAATCACGAGGAATGGATCACTGTTGATGCACTAGATGAGATTCAGGACAGGAGGAACAAGAAAGCAGCAATTAATACCAGCCGAACAAGAGCAGAGAAAGCCAAGGCACAAGCTAAATACACAGAAGTAAACAAGCAGGTGAAGAGGAGCATCAGAGCCGACAAACGTAAATATGTTGAAGATTTATCAGTGACGGCGGAAAAGGCCGCAAGAGAAGGAAACATGATACAATAAAGAAACTCGCTGGAAATTATCGTAAACCAGAACAAACAGTGAAAAGTAAGGAAGGCAAAGTAATCGCCAACATTAAAGAACAGCGAAACAGGTGGGTAGAACACTTCAAAGAACTCTTGAACCAACCGGCCTCACTGAAACCACGCAACATCAAAGAAGCACACACGGACCTCCCGGTCGATGTTACCCACCAACAGTGCAAGAGATCATCATGGTCATCAGAAAAATCAAGAGTGGCAAAGCAGCAGGACCAGACGACATTACAGCAGAAGCACTGAAAGCAGACGTAGCAGTAACTGCAAGGATACTCCACATTCTCCAATAAGATTTGGGATGAAGAACAAGTACCAAAAGACTGGAAAGAAGGACACCTGATCACTATACCAAAGAAAAACGAATGTGATAACTACAGGGGCATCACTCTTCTCTCAATACCGGGAAAAGTCTTCAACAGGGTATTGTTAAACAGGATGAAGGACTGCGTAGACGCCCAACTTCGTGACCAACAGGCAGGATTCCGTAAGGATAGATCGTGCACAGACCAAATCGCAACTCTACGGATCATTGTGGAACAATCAATTGAATGGAATTCATCACTCTACATCAACTTCATTGACTACGAAAAGGCATTTGATAGCGTGGACAGAACAACTCTATGGAAACTTCTTCGACACCACGGCGTGCCTCAGAAGATAGTCAATATCATACAGATTTCCTATGATGGATTACACTGCAAAATTGTGCATGGAAGACAGTTGACAAAGTCGTTCGAAGTGAAGACTGGTGTCAAGCAAGGGTGCTTACTCTCACACTTTATCCTTCTCCTGATGGTCGAATGCATCATGAAGACGTCAACATCTGAGGGGATGCATGGTATACAGTGGACAGTTAGGATGAAATTGGACGATCTAGACTTCACAGATGATCTGGCCTTCCTATCGCAATTGCAACAACAAATACAAGAGAAAACGACCAGTGTAACAGCAGCCTCAGCAGCAGTAGATCTCAATATACACAAAGGGTAAAGCAAGATTCTCCGATACAACACAGCATGCACCGATCCAATCACACTTAATGGAGAATATTTGGAAGATGTAAAAACCTTTACATATCTGAGCAGAATCATTGATGAATAGGGTGGATCTGATGCAGATGTGAAGGCACGGATCGGTAAAGCAAGAGCAGCATATTTACAACTGAGGAGCATCTGGAACTCAAAACAACTGTCAACCAACACCAAGATCAGGATTTTCAATACAAATTTCAAAACAGTTCTACTTTATGGGGCGGAAACCTGGACAACTACGAAGGCCATCATCCGGGAGATACAGGTGTTTATTAGCAGTTGTCTACGCAAAATACTTCAGATCCGTTGGCCGGACATTATTAGAACAAACCAGATCCCAATGGAGGAAGAAATCAGGAAGAATCACTAGAAGTGGATAGGGCACATATTGAGGAAAACACACAACTGCGTCACAAGGCAAATCCTCACATGGAATCCTCAAGGTCAAAGGAGGAGAATGAGGAAATGAAGACCAAAGAACACATTACTTTGAGAAATGGAGACAGACATGAGAAGAATGAACAACCATTGGATAGACCTAGAAAGTAAGGTCCAGGACAAAGTGGGTTGGAGAGTGTCGGTCGACTGCCTGTGCTCCAGTGGGTGTAATAGGCGTAAGTAAGTTGTTGCTTCTCTCAATAACTATAAATACCTCCCACCCATTAACTTTTAGTTTCAAACTACATGTGAGTATGAATGAAAACCCTATGTTTTCACTGATTAAGCAAGTTTGAAATCAATAATAGACGTTATTGCAATTTTTTGATGAATATAATTTCATCAGTAATGATATTCATAACATGATTGAAGGGTGTTTGACTGTATAAGTTTACATCCAATCATTCATAATACATCGTATTTCTATGTTTTGTTCGTTTTCTCGATTAGGATTATAAATATGTAATGAAAATAATTGGTTATCATTATGTTAAAATGATATTTTACACAGTTACGACAGATGAATGTTCTTGTAGGTGATTGGAAAAGCAGAAAAATTCTAGTTAGAGAAGATTAGAATCTACTAGCACAATTATTCCACAAACAGCTTATATATTGTTGTATATGGTTGGTAATTGGAAGTTAATTAGGCTTGTTAAGACCTTAATCAATCAGGATAAATAAAATAATTTTTCTTTACACTTTAATACTAAGAATAGAAAGATTGATACTTCATGTTTGTATTCTTTGTATTCATATACTCCCATTTGTCTTATGTGACATTATGAATATTAATGACTTTATTCAATATTATATTTTCGGTACAATATATCATTCTCAGCAAAAGCTATTTCAACAAGTATCCTTTCCTTATTTCTTCATTTTTCCTGACGATAAATATTGAGTGATAGCTAGTTAGATATAAGGAGTTCAGAAATCGACATCTGAATAATGTTCATTCGTTTCATTGCATATTGCCAGCCACCTTGGTGTCGTTGATTGTACCTTTTTAATAATTTGTACAGCGAAAGGTTGTAAACTTTTCATAAACGCGTTTAAATAGGCTATGCCCTTAACAGACATAATGATATGTTAATGCAAACAAAAGACAGGTAACTTATTGAAATATCTAGATGGGAGGAACAGGTGGCCCATATAATCCTTTTGTTATTTCATGGCACCGGTTATCTTTATATATCTCTATGTCTTCTATTCACAGTTTGCTTAGCGTTTTTTAATTCTTTAGATTATATATTGTTAATAGATCACTGAATAATGACCATTGATATGTTTACCTTGTTCTTTAAGACTGGTGATTCCAATTCAGTCAATCAAATTACGAAATATGGTCAACTATCTGAATGATTGGACATACTTTTATCTATATTAAATTATTCCTTGTGTAAAATTTCACTCATAATTTGTTGTGGATGTTAGATCCCCATAACTTTTTTTGTAATTTTATTTTAAAGTTTTGAATTTTCTTGTTTTCGCACCAAAAGCGCTCATTTCACCTTCATATTGTATTTCCCACTTGGGAGAGTCTGAAACGCTATTAGTTCGTTGTATCTTTTAGTATGCTATTTTGTAACGCTTCCCAAGGACAATATTATGCTGTATATATACGTTTGATTTCTGCCTGTTGTTATCGCTTATGCTTTTGGCTGCTTGCGGAATATACTTCCTCGTTACAACTTGGATTTCCCTCTCTAGTTAGCGGGGCTGATATGCATAAGAATAGCTAGCTTATCGGTCTTTGGTCACACAGTCTTTGTTCCGTTCGGAGACTAAGTAAACTCGTAATAGCTTCATATATAGCTTACTTACAATTTTCCCTTATTTTACTTTCATTCAGTTCATATTGACGTTGACCCCTCAAAAATTTAGCCTTCAATATTTTCTATGTTAGTATGGTGATTATTGCTAGTCGGCGGTCTATGCTCGATTGGAAGTAACACGCGTAAGTAAAAATTCGTAGATGGTGATTATAGTTGTTCTAGTGTGAATTATGGTAAATACGTTCAATGCACTTGTCCTTGTATGTTAAGATTAAAACTAGTTTAACATGAAACTGTTTTGTATATAATAAATATGATCGTTTTTGATAGAGTTTTGTTCTCTGAGCTGGATGTTTTGGTCGTAGAACTTTCATCGTTCTTCCGAACGATATCATCAATACAAACTTCAGGTAGAAGTTCTGATGATGTCGTTCAGAAGAACGATGAAAGCTCCATGATCAAACTATCCAGCTCAAAGTACAAAACTCCATCAAAATCATCTACCTGAGTTACAAATCTTCTCCACCATCTTAAGTATATATATATATATATATAGGAATTATTGATTGTTTATTTGTTTATTTTCATACTTTATCCATGTAACGTTTCTTTCATAGATACTTAATCGATTTGAAATGTAAATAATCCATATGATTTTCTAGAATAAACATTCGGTAAGATCCAAAATGAATATTGAACATTGTTATTATTATTATTATTATTATTATTATTATTATTACTATTGTTTAATCTATCTTACACAGTAACATAAAGAAAAATACACTTATGGTAACAGTAAAAAAAGAAAAAAATAGTAATGATATTGTCATTGGAATTTAATCTCTCGCCCCTCCCCGTTTTTTTTCCATGCTTTCACCATTAATAAGCTGTTTTAAATAATAGAATCTCTAAGCTTTTTGAATAAAAATAAATAAGATTATTATCCAAGTGAGTAATTGAGCTGTATGAAAAGAGAAAACAATATTTAAGAATAAACAAAACTGTTAAGGACGAATAACATACATAATCTGAAATAAATTGTGATAATATTATATCCTATCAAATATATGGATTCAAGTCAAGAAAATTATGATAGACGAAGGTAATATGATAAACAAAGTAATAGTAGATACAGACGGCTTACGTCACCTATGGCGAAGGCAAGGTATCCGTTTATCAATAAAAGGACGAGTGTGCTGTGCGACAGTTCGTTCCCTTCTACTTTAAGGCTGAGAAACGTGGTCATGAAGAGTGGAAGATACTCTTAAGTTAGTAGTATTTGACCACGGATGCCTCAGAAATATTGCTGGCGTCTGTTGGGATCACCGGGTAAGTAATAGTGAGGTTAGACGCAGGGTATTAGGGAATGATGATAAATCAGTTGATGAGGTTGTGAATCTTCATCGACTGAGATGGTTGGACCACGTGTTACGTATGCCTGAACACCGACTACCACAATATGCAATGCTGACCGGTGTTGGAGATAGTTGGAAGAAATTAAGGGGCGGCCAAACCAAAACGTGGCATCAGTGCTTGAAGACACTAGCTTCTAGTCTGAGCCATGTTAGTAGATGTAGACTACTTGGTTGGGGTCCGCGTGACTATTGTAACAAATGGTTGGAGACTCTTGGTGACATGGCTCAGAATCGATTACAATGGCGTAAGTGTATACACTCTGTCTTCCATTAAAGTATAAGGTTAAAATTGCTTCATATCTTTCTTTCTACGAACTAATTCCTTCTTCCTGTAATATGTAATTATATGCAATATTTCTTTTATATATTACAACCATTGAATTAACTACTTCTATGAATTTGGTGTTCATCTTGTTGTCTTAATGAATTATGGCAACTTGGACCGATGCACATATATGCCTGGTCCTACGTTGTAGCTGACTGACTGACTGAATGAGAAATAAAATGATTCAGAGGTTTAAGAATGATTTCAATAATGACTTATCCTGCTTGAAGTTAACAGTTTATGATTTTATCTAGCGCGGTAATTAGGTCTACGTCACTTAATAATTCAAATCAGAGAATGTAGTATCATAGAAAGCATTCAATTGAACTAAGTGTTTTTATTGCTTCAGTTAAATACATTCAGATATGATAGTATCAGTTTCAGCTAAATAAATCTACTCTTCTAGAATATAATAAAAACTATTATTGGAGAATATGTTGCGTTGCAGAAAGTCGAAATGAAGAATAATATATGTTTCAATGGTATACTGGTTATGTTACTTATGTATATTTTAATTACATTGATTATAATAATCATTGTTACTGAAGCATCATTTGTATTTTGGAGAGTAAGTAGTTGTTGTTATGATACTAAATGATAAAATGTCTAAGGAAAAATCATGAATAATCAAAGTTATCAATCAAAATGAATCATATCAAAAATTTATGGGAGTTTGTCCTCTCACAATTATTACGTTTTGATAGGATAGTGATAGAATAGGGAAAAACTAAGACTATCAGTTAGGTCTTACTTCAGCAAAGAGTGATTGACCTACAATATTGATGTTACAATTATTCATGTTCTCTGATCACATTTATCGACGTGTTGTTATTTTTCAGTATTATCATTTTTCTTGTTTTTAGTGATTTTGTCTTTGATATCAGTCCATTCGAGGATTCGAGTCAATAACACGTCCTGATGAGAAGCTATAGTGGCTAGTACTGTATCAAGCCCATATGGGTTATTCTAGCTTCTGAACAGATAAATTCATTCATTCTTCTCAAGTCATATTTTGACCTTGTCAGTTATTTACTTATTAACCCTGATTGTTTTTATATGATCGTGTGTGCGTTAATTGCTTACCCTATTCATCACGTATCTTTAACTTTGCCTGAATATAAATATCGATCAAAATGAATTGGCTCACCAGCCTTCTCCGCTGTATATCACTTCGTTTCACTGATTATCTCTCTGGATCAAAGAGTGAATGAAATATACATATTCGAAATTCGTTCTCGTATTTCATTCCGTTATTCTCAAACGCGAATCAAGTCGATAAAAATATACGAAGGTTGGAGTCATGTATATTTCGATAACAGTCAGCATACAATTTAACTGAAGTCAGATATAAGGGCTACCAAAAAGCCATCACATAGTTGTACCTTATCATTAAATATCGTTTAACTATCTTCCTTCTATTTGTTCACTATAAATTCTGTAAATCATCTACAAATCATGAAATCTTCCTGTGTGACAAATGTGTACAGTCAGAGATTCAGAAGGCGAAAATGTATCATACAGAAATATACACACTGAAATTAATCAACGAATTATCATCACAAAGTTAGGACAATCAGACATTTTGAGGAACTAAGTTCTATAAAGCAAATTATTTTCAGATAGCAACAACATGATTATAACTTGGCGAAGTAAACCTTAAGTTAATAATTATATTATTGTCTAATGACTCTATCAAATAAATGGAACGTTTTAAGATTTGAATATGTAAGATATTTATTTACCATACATTCTTCATACTGTAACTGTGATACTTTCACATTCAATAAATCAATAATTTTTTGTTTTGATCATTGGTTTTACACTGTTTCTCACTTTGATTCTAGCATCCAATGATTTAAGCAATACTAATGGATATAGTCAATTACATACATTTCTGTAAAAATATATAAACTGTGCAAATATTTTGTAACATATATGATCTCAAAATGAAATGGAATCAAGACCATTGATTCACATGGAGAGTGCACTATCATTCTGACCACTGAGTTGGGATCTAGTGACTTACATTTATAATGTCAATTCATTAACAATCAGTGATACATGTAATACATTATATTACAAATACTTTGTACATAGAATTCTCCAAAGACTAGACAACCTAAAATATCCTGTGATATACTGAAAGGTTTCAATGAATTTCATTTCAACTAATTCATGTTATTACATAATATCGCACATTAATTCCTTACGTTATCCAATATTATGTCATTACTTGAAAAGAGAGTAATTTGTCTACCACAGAAATAGTTTATTCAGTAGTGCATTTATAAAGTTCTTAAAGTATTCATTAATTGTAACGTTTTAAATGGTATCATAACCAGTTGATAGAAGACTACAGTAGTGAGATTGTCGTTTTTTTGTAAATAAGTAATAGTTCTTACATCATCATATGATGTAATCACTTTTACTCTTTTATAGACTCATATATTTATCGAATAGTTATCAAATACAAATGTACAGCTTAAGTAGATGATTTGGTGGGAAAGTTTCTTTAAATAAATCCTCTTCCATTTTATTCACTGTACAATGAATCAATTGTCAATCATCACTAAACATAAAACTATTATTATCAGTATCACTCTTGTGAGATAGTAACTCACTGAACACAATGGTGTACGGTAACACAATTTCGTGGATTGGTTGAAGTTAGACATTAACACCATTGGATGCCGGGTCAGTGGTCTATATGTTAAGCATTCATGGGCAAGAGTGATGTGTCCTGAGTTCGAATCTTGTGGAGCGGGATCGTGGATGCGCACTGCTGAGGAGTCGCACACTAGGACGAAACGGACATTTAGTGCTTTCAAGTTTTTGATGGTGGTCTGGCTTTAATTGATCCATGAATTCAACTATAAAATTACTAAAATCTCCACAATACCCCTTTCTGGTAGTAAAAATATCAAACGTTTTATAAAGAAAACGTTTTGTTCTAATCACTAATTATTAAACTTATTCTTTAACTGATATTCTAATCTATAAATTTATGTAAATCTTTGGAAATACTTTCGAAAAGTCATCATGAATTGATATAATCCTATTAAATAAAGTATAACTATTTGCTTATGAAGTATATTCATGTCAGTTTTGTTCATGCATAATAGTTAAACACTTGATTAAACTAAAAATTATTGAATAAACAAATATGATTTACTATCCGTAGACTGTTTGAACAATTTTTTTCTGGTTATTGTTAGCAAACTACTTCAGACACTAGCAGCAACAACGTACTGTGGGAGAGAATAAACCAGATTCCAGTGGAGGAAGAAATCAGAAAGAATCACTGGAAGTGGATAGGGCACAAATTGAGGAAAACACACAACTGCATCACAAGGCAAACCCTCACATGAAATCCTTAAGGCCGAAGGAGAAGAGAAAGACCGAAGAACACATTACTTTGAGAAATGGTGACAGATATGAGAAGAATGAACAAAAATTGTGTAGAACTAGAAAGAAAGGCAGAGTGTGACAGAGTGGGTTGGAGAATGCTAGTCGATGGCCTATGCTCTATTGGGTGTAACAGGCGTAAGTAAGTAATCCACAAAATGTATTTATTACAGATTAATCTCATCTGGAATATTTAAGCGAACCAAAAAATTTAAGAAAACTCTTTCATTTTAGTATAAAACTGTTCAACAATGAACTTTCTTGACTTTCAATAATACCATAACGATAATTAAAGTTTGAAACTATTATAATAACAAATAAACTTTTAAATTATTACTAACCTTTCAAAATCCCGTCCAATAACACATTGCCAATTACGTCCATAAATATGATCAAATTTTTGTTTTAAATAATCAGCCATATCTTTAAATGTTGTATAAGTTGAATATGCTTCATTAAACCAATTAATAGCATTAGTCTCCATATCTTTTGGCATATATGCCATAATTATTTTAGTTTGATCGTTCGGCATGAATAATTTATCGTTTTCTTTTTGGTTATTTGGTTGTTTGTTTACAAATTTCTAATTACCTCAATGTATATATATATCAGTTTATTTGTAGTAAGGATGGCTAACTCTACAATTTATTATTTTTATGATAAGATGAATTACATTTACATGGGAACAATAGTTTTCTCAGATATAAGTTCTCTCGCTTTTTTTAAAAAAAAATGAAGAAAAAACGGAGTCTTTCTAGGGGCAATGATCATGTGAATACTATACACTTTGGTACTATTAACTAAACAACAACAAAAAAAGAGGCTGTAAAGAATGAACTTAAAACTTTTCTTTCTTTTTTCTCTCTGTTCTTTGGTTGTTGATTAAACAGTAAGTTTTATGTGTATTACATTCTTAGAATAGTGATTAAATTGTACCTACTTATTATATATTTATTTAGGAAGGTGTTAACAGTATTCACCATGATATTAAATCAGGTAAATACAGTTATATTCGAGAGGGGTTTTTTGGAGATTTTAAAAATTTCACTAGTTGAAATCATGTGTCAATTAAAGCTAGACTACCATGGGAAACATGGAAGCATTGGAAGGCCGTTTCGTCCTAGTATGAGACTTCCCAGAAGTATGCATTCACGATCCATTGAAATCTCCATAAAACCCGTTCTGATAATGATCATCTGCTCAGTATTGACTGACTTCATGAGACATTTTCTGGAGTTCTAGTCAGAAGCTGTGACCAGTAGAGTTCAACCAGATCTATTGTGAGATATCAGCTCACTGAAGACAATGTTGTACGGTGGCACAATTTCGTGCATTGGTTGAATTTAGCCATTACCACCGTTGTATCTCGGCTCAGTGGTCTAGAGGTTAAGCGCTCGTGCGCAAGACTGATAGGTCCATGGTTCGAATCTTGTGGAGCGGGATCATATATGCGAACTCCTGACGAGTCCCATAATGTGACGAAACGGCCTTCCAGATTTTTCATGGTGGTCTAGCTTAAATCGACTCATGATTTCAACTATCATAAATACATTTATAGTTGGTTATTGATAGATACTTCCCGTTTAAACATTAAAAATTAAAAACATGAAGTTTAGGGAAGGGATCTCATTTTAACGAGTTTATTATCAATCTGTACAATCGTATATATATATATATATATATATATATATATGAAAATGTTTTATTAAATTACTAATTCCATGAGGAAATGTAGACACGAATAGCCAAGATGATGTAATTGAAAGATTATAATACCAGATTACATAGTACGAATAATAACAATAGGCTAAGTAAATTAGTAACGACTGTAGTAACGAATGTAGTAAGATGACTAAAATGTTAGAAAGCGAGGATCTAAATATTCTATTCATAATACTTTACAATGTATTGATCGTATTAAGGACGTTCATACTTACGGAAAACACATGTTCTCGCTTGACGTTAACTCTTTGTTCACTAATGTAACTTTAATTGAAATGATATGCTATATGTGTGAGTATACTGATTCTAACAACATAGATATAGGTTTGCCGACTGACCACTTGAAAGAACTAATGCTACGTTGTATCTTTAATGACCAGATGGGATCGCTATGTGGTCTTCAATGGGTCTAATTTTAGCGGACTGTTTCATGGAAAAACTGGAAAACAACCAACTCAGTTCGATGATTAATCGGTTTCGTCTATATGTAAGATACATGGACGATATATTTGTAGTTTGTGATGATAATACTGAATTAGAAGATATCTTACACTCCTTTAACAGATGACACCCTTCCATAGACTTCACGTTAGAAAGTGAGCGAAAACAGTCAATCTCTTTTCACGACGTATGTCTAATGAGAAGAAGTAATGGTTCCTTAAAAAGATCCATATTTGGAAAACAAACATGGCATGACTAGCTGACTAAATTCTATAGCTAGGTTCCTTTAAGCAGAAAGAGAAATCTCATTCACTCTTTATGTTATCGAATAAATCAGATATGTAGTAGGGAATGCATTGCCGAAGAGCTCGCATTCCTCAGGAAAACTGACAAAAATGACTATCAAGACGGCTTCATAGATAAAAATTTGAAAAGAAATCTAGTTGTTCCCTTCCAAAGAAAAACCTCTACATAAGTTTGGAATCTAAAGGTGATCGAACTTCTGATGTAACGACTATGGTAGATATATTAATCAATAATCCTTCATTGAACTGAACTATTATGGAATGATTGTAACATTTAAACTACACATAGTAGTATCATACAAAGAGAATGAATGAAATTGATATTAAGACACTCTGGATAATGTTATTTCAATAATACATCTAAAAAGTCAGTATATATCATTATACTCAAATTCATCATTTATCATTATGAATTTGGGGAAATTGTTCGATTTTATTGAGAGAGCTAACCGATTTAAGTGAGAAAATCATTACAAGCCTGTAACTATTGGACGATCACTTCGTCTTAGTGTGGGATCGCTCGATAGTCACGTCCGCGATCCTATAATCAGGAACCAAACACAGGAACTTCGATCTCTCATTCAAACGCTTAACCTTCAGACCACTAAGCTGGTATTCGAAGGTATACAGTTTAACCGCTGAGAAGTCCCATACTGATGGTTGTTTGACTTAGATAGCTTCCCGATAATAATCATCTTTTTTCTGCTGTCGTCAGTGACGGTTGATGTGAGATATGTTGGTAGATGTTAACTACTTGGTTTGGGTCTGTGAGATAAGTGCGATCAGTGATTGGAGACACAGTGTTATGTAGCTGAGAATCAATCACACTGACAATAGTGTGTTCACTGTTTATATATTGAGCTCAAGTATTCCTTCATGCATAGTTTTTATTTCTATCTTTATCGATCCTGTTCTCAATACTTAGTCTTTCTCACTATCATTGTTTTGCTTCGCTAGTCATCTCGCTAATCGCGACTCCTCTTGCTAGTTTGGTGTGGAAACATGTACCAGTGCACATCTGTCCCAGGTTCTACGCTGATATTGACTGACTGATTGTATGATCTCAGTCATACAGTATGTAAGATGAGTAGTTATAACATTTGTTCATATTATGTATTAAATATTGCATATAAAGGCGTGAACATATGTTCCAGCTACTTAATGACAAATAAGTTTTCTGTTCATAAATATTCGACTTTTGTCAAATAACGTAAAATCTCTCACTACGACTATGTATCTGTGTACCTAATAAAAGAAATTAGGTAGCACGACCAAGATCTGACTTGATAATTTCACAAATACTAATTATTGTGTGGATGGTCTTTTGTAATAATAATGATAATAGATACCTCTCAAGAAAGTTTTGTCAATTATGAAGAAAGGAGAGTGATTAAATTCTTTCATATATTATTAAACCGCATTGCTCTAAATAGAAAGAAAGGTCGAACTAATCATGCACCTTGAATCTAAATAACCATATTTGGTTAGAGATTGGCAGTGGAGTTCAACATGTACGTTTCATCCTATCTGATAATCGTCAGTTGGATGTATCTGATGTTCACAACTGGACATGAACCTAATATCTCTTACACTATTATTACACAAATAAATGTAATTTTTACACATTTAAATATCACATTTTTTCACATTCCCCAGCAAATACATAATACAAAATTATTGACACTGAGCATCGAAAGTGAACTGCTTTCCGCAAGAGACAGTAAGCGTTGTTCTAAATTTCAAAATAACTTAAAACAAACACGAAATAATATCAAAGTTACGTTGATGTAGATTTTGCCTTTTATTAACCATTTATTATTCAATAAAATTGTGAACTGACTATTTAGATAGATATTTGGCCTGCTATATCAAAACCTAATAATTTAAAATCTATGCAATCACTTGATAACATACTATTTGAGAAAATCGGTTTTGATGGAGTTTTGTTCTCTGAGCTGAATGTTTTGATCGTAGAGTTTTCATCGTTCTTCTGGACTTTAGGTTCGTGCTGATGACGGCGTTCAAGAGAACAATGAAAACACCATGACCAAACCATCCAGCTTAGAGAACAAAACTCCATTAAAATAATATCCCTGGGCTACAAATCTTCTTCATCACCTCGAGATAATTGGTATTTCTCATCAAACACTGTACAAATCCGTGTATATAACTAACATTTTTTACTTTATTACTTACGCCCGTTACACCCAATGGAGCATAGGCTGTCGACCGATACTCTCCAACCCACTCTGTCCCATTCTACCTTCTTTTCTAGTCCTATCCAATTGTCGTTGATTCTTCTCATATCTGTCACCATTTCTCAAAGTAATGTGTTCTTTGGTCTTCCTCTCCTCCTTCTCCTCCTTTGACCTTGAGGATTCCATATGAGGATTTGCCTTGTGATGAAGTTGGGTGCTTTCCTCAATGTGTGTCCTCTCCACTTCCAGTGCTTCTTTCTGATTTCTTCCTCCGTTGGGATCTGGTTTATTCTCTCCAACAGTAGGTTGTTGCTAATAGTGTAAGGCCAACGGATCTGAAGTATTTTGCATAGGCAACCGTTAATAAACACCTGCATGTTCTGGATGGTGGTTTTCGTAGTTGTCTAGGTTTCCGCCCCATAAAGTAGAACTGTCTTGACATTTGTATTGAAAATCCTGACCTTGTTGTTGGTTGACAGACAGTTGTTTTGAGTTCCAGATGTTTCTAAGTTGTAAATATATTGCTTTTGCTTTGCCGATATGCGCCTTCACATCTGCATCAGATCCACCCTGTTCATCAATGATGCTGCCCAAATATTTAAAGGTTTTCACATCTTCCAAATATTCTTTGTCAGTTGTGATTGGATTGGTGCATGCTGTGTTGTATTGGAGAATCTTGCTCTTCCCTTTGTGTATATTGAAACGTACTGCTGCTGAAGTTGCTGCTACACTGGTCGTCTTCTCCTTTATTTGTTGTTGCGTGTGCGATAGAAGAGCCAGATCATCTGTGAAGTCTAGATCGTCCAGTTTCATCCTAACTGTCCACTGTATCCCACGCTTCTACTCCAATATTGACGTCTTCATGATGCAGTCGATCACCAGGAGAAAGAGAAAGGATGAATAACTAACATTTAGTTTGAATGAACAATTTGATACCATAAGTTGGATTGGGGAAAAGCAATTATGTTCATTTCTTTGAAACAATCACTACAAAACTATGTAAACGAAAGCCTGAACAGTGATAACACAGTATGAAATTAACCAGTCGATCGATTAGTCTGAATATATATATATAAACGCTTTTGTAAACCCACTACCGTGAGTATGTAGGCTTGTGCATTGGAGCAAAAAAAATTTTAAAAAATTCAGTTACAGTAACTAACATAAAATCACATTTTGTTGCTAACTATTTCGCTTTCTTTTCTCATAGTCTGAACAAGTTGAAATATTTAAGATATAATTTAAGTTCAGTCTGATCTATAAAATTGATCGAATTATGGTAAATGCAGTATAACAAGCTAAGAAAGATATACCATATACGCTGAGTAACATGTTTAATAATGATTTGTCAATAATTAAATATTATCAGAATGGGTTTTGTGGAGATTTTTAGAAATTTCACTGGTTGAAATCATGAGTCAATTGAAGGTAGACATTAACACCATTGGATACCTGCTCAGTGGTTTAGTTGGTTGAGCGCCTGGCGCAAGACCGATAGGTCCTGGGTTTGAATCTCGCCGGGGGGCGGGACCGTGAATGCACACTGCTGAGGAGTCCCATACTAGGACGAAACGGCCGTCCAGTGCTTCCAGGTTCTCCATTCTGGTCTAGCTTCAATCGACTCATGATTTCAACCAGTGAAATAATTAAATAGTTTGAACAGTAATTTTGTGATTAAATTTGTTTTCTAACGAATACAGAGCCATTAAATCCAAGATTTCTAACCTATTGAAGCTATTCCACAATGTAATTTACAGAACCTATTTGGTCTTTTGTAATGTTAATCACTAAACTAACCTATGAAGTTGAGATCGAAATTTAAGATTTTCAGCATTCCTTAACAAAGTATGTCTATAATCATATGAAAAGATATGTTGCTTGAAAAACTATTGTTAGTTACATAATCAGTTACACTAAATTATATTGAACACAATAAGTAGTCTAATGAGTTTCATTGAAAACATCTTTTTGTGATAACAATATTCTTTTAACAGTATTCAGTTAGTCTGTTAACTTTATATTGTCTGAATGACTTTCAAAAAGAAGGTACATAAAATTTATTACATGTCAAATCTGTTATGTCCTCTACTTGTTTAATTACTTGCACTCAAACGTAAAGAAACCTACAATCACAAATCAACAAGATCGAAGAAAGCAAGAGAAAGTGGTTAGTAGGTAACTGTCAAAAAAATATACAGAAAAACAAGGGTATTTATAGCTTTTAGTACAGGCTATAATATCATTATAATCCAGTCGATTCTCAGGTAGGAAGTTATAGTATTGTCCAATCACAGCATGCCACGTTGATATTTTGAAACATTTTTTCGGATTCTGATTGGATGGAATCCCTTTAGCTCCTTTAGAACTTCTGAAGGTTTCGTCTCGCTTCCTGGGAACCTTCCTAAGAAGATTGTATATTTTTTCATTTGTACTGTTTGTTTTGAATTTTGATGTTTAGGAATACAATTGATCAGTGTCTGTTGGCTTATGTGCATCCTGTGCGGATTACCCTGATACTTTCATTAAGTCGTATGCATTATAAACAGAGATGGTTTGTGGATAGTAGTATAATCAAGAACGCGCATTCCTCTCTGTTTGGTTCTCCATTTCTGAATGTAATTGCATCCTGGAGTTCATGTCTATGCTTGGACCCGAACCCAGTACCATCTGCATTAAAACATCAACGCATCGTCCACCTAGCTACTTAGTTAGAAACAATAATGAATAAAATCATAAAGATACGAGAGATATTTAGAAAGTAAGATATTTTTAAATACGAAATAAAATAATAATAGTAGTCTAAGGCCATGATAAAGATAAGGATAAAACTTATTTCTTTTGTACACACAGTTCTGGCTTCATCTCATTGATAGTAAGAACTTCTATTTTAAGGAGTTGCATATTAAGAAATCATGTTATCCACCCTTGTTACATTATTCTCCCTAATATTTTTGTAATTTCCTGTTCAATTTCATTCCTTTTTGCAATGTTTACGTATAGAAAAGAAACTAAAATCTCTAGTTTTATGACTGAAACAAAACACCCTTGATCTGCTAAAGTAGCTTTCATCTCTTAGTGGGGTTTTGAATTATACTCTAGATATTAATTTTTTGAGCTGATTTATGCTACTGTGCAGCTTAAGAATGATACTACTGAAGAGAAAAGTTATACACCCATTATCTCTCCTCTTTAATAGATTTACAATTTTACCAATGATCACCAGACACTATTAAGTAAGGTATTCAACAAAAAAAACAAACTCAATTAATCGTTTCTGAACAAATATATACTGTTTCAGTAACACAATAAAGTTTAATTTTTATGTTCTGTTGGAGGAATGTGTTCGAATGTTCCGTAATATGATAAAATAATTATTTTCTCTGGAAACCTGCACCAATCAATGTGAGACCATTTTTTTAAAAAACCTGGAAGAAATGGTTAACCATTTTGACTCCTCATCTGTGCAAATCTACGACCCTGTATTTCATGATTCAAAAACTAGGAGAGTTGCATAATCTCCATAAAACATTTTGTTGGAAATTGACAATGAATCGTAAGTTATGAATAATTGTCGCAGTGACATTTAATTTAGTTAGTTAATTATGAAATATGCTATGTAATTTTTTTATGAATACCTATCAACTGAGGATTATACATTTATATACATTTATAAACAACGAGATTTTCATTACAGAGTATACTATAAACAATCTGCAGACACGAGTTGACTAAGTGTTCAACGTCTCTACTGCCTCATGAAGGTATGTCACAAGGGGTTGTTCTTTCATCTCTTCTTTCCTCCTTTTTTCTGCATAATCTGCCATCTTCCACAGAAAACACTTTTGTGAAGTATGCGGATGATGTCATTGTATGCATGCCGATTTCTAACTCTTTACATCCCATAGAAATGAATGAGTTTTTGTCTCGTATTGAATGGTGGTTTGTTGTTAATGGTCTCATACTTAATCCGTCTAAATGTCAAGCTATTAATTTTAGCTTGAGACATGAACAGAATCTAGACACCATTTTGAGATCCTATAATACTTGTGACATTGGAGGCTCTTTGATGAACACAGTATCGAAGGTCAATTATTTTGGTGTTACCTTTTCCTCTGATCTCTATTGGTCTTCTCCCGTTTTATCGTTATCGAAGAAGGTTTTCCATCTGACTTACTACATAAAGAGACTGCATGCTTTTGAGATTACTCGTCATTTACTCTTACAATTTGTCAATTCTTGCATATTACCTTTTATTCATTACTGTTCTCCATCACTCTTTCCCGGGCATTTCAGAAAGGACTTTGCTGTATTGCGGAGAGTGCTGAAGGCAGTTAGCAAGGTGTCTGGTGAATCTTTTGAGGTCATAATTAATATGGTTGTGGACAGATATCTAAAGTCTTGCAAACTCCTGGCAGGTGTTATTTTATCAGATACTAACCATCTCCTTCACTCTTATCTTTCTCCTTGTATATCTTCTAGTAGAATGAGACGTCAATACATTAAAATCCATGCATGCAAGCAAAAGTATAAAAGTCCTATAATACCTTATCTAGCAAATATACGAATAGGTTGTTTGAGTTGACCTAATCAACAACCTGTATTCTTAAACATGTCTCTAAACCAAATACTGTACAGATTTAGATTTTTTTCACCATTTTCCTTTCTTTTTTCGTTGTTTTTTATACTTTTTTTGTTCTTGTAAGAGAAAGTTGTTGAAACACCTCGTGCTGAGAATTCTATGTTGTACCAAAATATAATATTGAATAAAGCCATTAATAATAATAGTAATAAGTGGAAACAATGATAATTATGAAGCATTTAATCTCCAGTATAAATTTCAAATTGCATACATCTTGTTTATTTTCAACATACTAATTTACTTGCTTAAAAGTACAAGGGGGATGTTGAAATACATAGATAATTTATTATTATTTGAACAGATGAATGTTGGTACAAAGGGACACCGTATACATATACGCCACACAAGTCACATGATTTATGTGTGAGGTGTGATACCGGTCGGGTGCCTAAACCGAGGCAGGTAGTTTTCATAGAGGGCTACACCCAGAGTCATCGACGTAAATGTCTAATCCACAAGACAGTGGAGCAACGTAAGGCGCGCGGACCCGAAAGCCCTGGGTTCGAATCCCTCGAGCAGGATCGTGGATGCGCACTGCTGAGGAGTCTCACAATAAGATGAAACGGCCATCCAGTGTTTTCAGGTTTCCAACGGTGGTCTAACATCGGTTGGTTCATGATCTCAATCAAAAACAAAGATTTCATTATGTTTTTCTTAAATAATTTCCAAAAAAATCTTTCATTATGTAATATGTAATAGTATTGATTCATTCATATATGATCACAAATATTGATTTCATAGGTGTTTATCAAATGTATTCTTAAAACTATGAAATATCTATATATATGATTTGCTAAAATAGAATTCAATCATACACATCATTTCAACCTATCATAAGTATACAAACATAATGTAAAATCACTTGTCTGATTGTGAATCAAATCACTATTGTTTTCATCATTCACCAATATATAAAGTGAACAACGAATTCACCTTTCAATAGTTTATCCTTTATCATTAATATTAAAGAGTTATTCATATATATTTATTCAATAATAAAGACTTCAATATTCAATTATTCATTCATTAATACATTTTAAATTAATTTTACAATTCCATAATCCAAAAAAATAAAAGAATGAATAATTCTGTAATAAAAAATGCTGATATGTCACATGAAATGCAAAAACGTGCACTTGCTATTGGAATGGATTCCGTTCGAAAATATGAATTAGAAAAAGATATAGCTGATCATTTAAAAAAAGAATTTGATACAAGATATGGTCCAACATGGCATTGTATAGTGGGAAGAAATTTTGGCAGGTAATTCATTCTATAACATTCCCATATTGTGAATTTAGAACAACATAGATATAAGAGAACAATATTATATTCGATTAGATCCTCATCAGGCTTTAATTAGTTTCAGTTTCAGTTTGGGAAGGACAGGATGCTTGATGGCTTGTGTTAGTCCTGGCAATGGTGGTCTCTCAGTTGATTCAACTTTCTTTTCAAAGAGTCGACGGATGGAGCCTCGTTGATGATTCGATTGGAAAGTCGATAGTCAACTGACAAGTAATTTGTTCTGGGCTTGTGAACTCTTTTGGAGTGTCCTCGTAAATTCTCTGTTTTGGAAGTCAAGAAAAATGAGGGCATATCAGGTGTGAATTTGGCACTAAGCAATTTGAAAACTTTAATCAAGTCGCCTCTAGTTGTGTGATATGACAACGGGAAAAGGTTCAGCTTGGCCAGTCGAGCTTCATACGGAAGCTTCGCTATTCCGGGAAGCAGTTTAGTTGCCGTTAGAGTAAATCCTGATGAGGATTTAATATATATGTGTTGTTCTAAATTCTATAGTATTTTTTAAAAATTATTTTTATTGTGACAGATATATTTTCATAGACTATATATCATAAACTGATCTTATCTAGGTCATTATTGAAAACTAGGAAGCAGTGGACAGTAGTTACGTTCTAGTATGGAATTCCTCAATAGCGTGCATTTATAAATTCCTTTATAGTAAATCAAACTCAGGACCTTTGGTTTTACATGTGAACGCTTGACCTTTAGATGAGTGATGTCTAAATTTAATCAATTCGTGATTATCAACACCAGTGCACGATGCTCTTCCGTCGTATATTGAGGACACCTAACCAGCGGATTTTTATCCACTTCGGCTATGAAACAGCTATCTACCACGGGTAATTGAAGATAGTCTCATAATATTGTGAACTAATTGAAACTAAAAGTGTACACTACCAGTTGCACAGAGGTTTAGTTTTCGAGTTCGAGACCGAAATTTCTGAGTTTGATTTACTATTGCGGGGACATAGAAACGCATAACTGAAGAGTCTCACGCTTAAACAAAATAGCTGTCTAAAGCTTCTTAGTTTTCTATGGTCGCCTAACTAATATCTGTTCGCAGTTTAAAATTTAAGAAACTTCTTAAAACTGCATAAAATCAAACACTGATAATATAAATATTTACTGAAATATTAGTATGACATTTTGATATTGTCTAATCTGAGCTGTAAAGTTAAGATAAAGAGTATGACAATTAAAATAATTGAACAGGCAACGACATGATAAGGTTTAACTACAACTATTTGATAATAAATTCGATATAATAAGCTGATGGTCATATTCAGAGATATTTGATTTCCTCACTTTTTATAAAGTATTTACGGATTATATTGTCTAGAACGACAATAAACCACCCAGCTTAGGGAATGCAACTTCACCTGAAACTTATCGTGTTCAAAGAAGTTATTTGAATTTAGATTAGATCATAGTCTCTTTGTTTGATCAATAACACTAAATTATAATAAATAAACAAGTCGAATAAGATTATGTCAGTTCACAACCTTAGATGTTAATGTGTATATTATTTACAAGTAATCTGAAATAATTGTTTGCTTGGAACTGCTGCTAGTGCTGGTAGTGCTACAACAATAACTACTGATACTTTTGAGATTACTAGTGGATCATGAAATGAAATATTCTTATACAGAAGAGATACAAGAGTTTCACCTGATTGTACTCTAATGCGAACTCAATGCTTTTAAAATTTTAATACTCTTCTTATAACATAAAGAGCCTTTGATTAGCATTTAAAGCATAACAAGATTACAGCATGATTGTAGGAAGCTTGCTGAATGTTTACATACTCAAAAAAAACTTGGCAAACATGTTACTGAGACCGTGAATCATTATTAACTGAGCTGGCTGAGATATGTTCTACGCACAAGCAATCGCCACCTACGTCGACGTTTAATGCAGGTTAGAGTAGAATTATGTTGTAGAAAATCATAGTGAGGACAAACTTTGACGTGACATAAGTCGATGTAATTGCCAGTTGTTTGTCTGAGTTGTATATGTTGAATTAACATTAACCAATGTCTAGAGACGTTTGGTTAAAAATTTAAAAGTCAGTCATAGTGTACACATGGATTTATTCCTTATCTCACTTCATGTGTTAATAGGCAATAATAGAGGTAAGTAATGTACTAGTTACCATCAAATGGTAAATGACTCCTCAAAATAAAAATTTCACAAACATTTGACATTGATAATGACATTGTTATGTCACACGGATACTGTTATCTGAAAGGTCTCAGTCGAAAATCGTGGTCATATTACCACATAAGCCATATGAGGTGATTCTCCTCCTCTACATATTCAGCTTAGAAGTTCCAAGTTTGTTTACCTCTACCCATATTTTAATAAACTTTCTTCAGTGTAGTGTAAGATATACGAAATCAAGGATTATCAGACTCTGTCGTATTCAGTGTTTTTAGGTTAACTGTTTACATAAACATTTCTAATCTCTTTGGATTCTTTTAAAAGAAGCTAAGGATATATCGCTTTTAGTGGTTCAAATAAGAATAATAACTACTTGCTGTAGCTAAGAGTATGAATTTAAATTTGTTGTGTTGAGAATTATCTTAGTTGATCTTAGAAACAATGTGGATTACAATTTTCAAAAGAAATTATCGTCTGAAGTAATAGATTGGGCAAAGTTAATCAAAACTATAACAATGATTGTAAATTAATAACATTGTTCCTGTAAAGTGATCGCATCACTATACTGTAGTGAACAAGAACTCGGGTGGAGAAAACCAATTCATTGTACTATACATAATTACACATTACCTTTACAAAATATGAAAAGCATACAGTAAATGCATTATTTGTACATCTTCCTTTAGTTGTCCTTTACCTAATTCATCATTCTTTCAACTCTGTTGTTATTTTAATTGCTTTCGCTTTTGTTTCCTCTTGTCTATAATTCAATATTTTGCTGGCAAATATTTCACTTCTGATTGATGCTCTACACTAATGAAATCTGTCAGGAAGTTATATTTTCTAGCTTAGACTTCATACAATAAAACATTTCGTTCAAAATAATGCTCTTACACATCAGATGTTTACGTACTGAAAACATAATTAGTAATCAATTTTAAAACAGAAATACAACCGGGTGGGATTTCAATTATTGTTGCTACCTAGTAGAGCATTTTGTTCCTTCTCAATTGTATATTTGTTACAAATCAAATAATAAATTCAAACAAATGGTTATTTAAACTGTTTAAACAAAGTAAAGTGAAGTATTGATTGTACTGTCCCATCTGATCATTCATGAAACCATGATTATTTTATAATGAGAATGCCATCATAGCAACCGATAGTTAGAGACCTTGAATGACATGACTCAAAATCGTTTGCAGTGGCGCAGGTACATCCACTCTTTGTGTTCTCCCAAATTCTAATACCCTAAATCCTCCTTGTCTCTTTTTTTCTGTTTCCAAATTTATTTCACTGGATTATACTCTTTAAATAACATCTTCAAACCCTAATCTTTCCGATTACTGCTCATAGTCTCATAGAATCGACAACTGCATCTCTGTGCTATTGTAGTATGGCAACTCAAACTGATGTACGTACGTACGAAGTTCTATGTTGTTACTGACTGACTGATATCATTAGACTTAATAAAACGGTTTTCATAATTTCGATATCACATGAATATTTATCATAGAACCTGATGTAACAACTTGTTTACAATGGTTCTGCTTCTTTTGTCGATTAAGTAGTAATTAATTGAAACAAAAACAAACTCAAATTGCTTATTTGTCATATGATATACCGATAATAAATACCACTGTCATATACAATAACTTCTGTCTAGATTTGGTCGAATCGTTTCACAGTATTTTGGCGCCGAATTAACGTGAGACATTAAAGAGGAAGAATATGTATTTATAAAATCTCAGCAAATTATCATTGACTTCTCTTCTGTGTTCTTTTTTATTAACTGTTGATCAGTAGTATGTTAACCTTTTAAAATTTGTCGTAAAGATCTCTAAACCCATCCACTACACTGGGAAATACAGTTTTCTTCCTTGGTTTGGAAGAATTTCATCTCTGAAATCCAAATACTTAATACCAGTGTAGTGGGTAACTCGATCAGTTGGCTTGAATTCCAGTTGAATTAAATCCTCCGATGAGATGAGTGTATATTCTTAGCTCAGTCTGCTTCCAACTAACTGTGACTGCCCGACTAAATGTATTGATCCAACCAAATAATCAATAACTCCAAGTCCAAGGTAGTCACAATGTTACACCTCATTGACTTCTCTTTTGTGTTCTTCTTCATTAACTGTTGATCAATAATTTGTTAACCTTTTAAAACTTGTTTATCATCAAAAATTTGATAATTATCATTTGTATTAGGGTAAAATACTAACAAAAGCGTTCGCGTGAACTATGAAATTCCCTGATTATTTCTAATTAGTTGCTTGTTTTGAGAATAAAACAAAAGTAATTTATTATGTAATGATAGAAATATTATGTAATCTCCATGTTCGTTTCATTTCGGCTATGAAGTTATGAAAACTACTGTTTATCAGTGAATAGTTAATGTTTTATTCTTATACTTTGAGCTAATCAATTACTGATTGTATCCTAGTTTTGAATCTTATAACTAAAGATCATCTTCAGTTGTTAAGAGAATTTAACGGTTGTTAGTAATGGTGACAAACTACTATTGGTTTGTGTTTTAAATATGAAACTACATTTTTTAGTTAGTTTTAAATCTATACTTAAATTTGAAGAACATTAGTTTTTCCACTGTCATTAGGATTAATAGTTAAGATAGTTATTATCCGTATGGGATTGTGGAAACTGTCAAGTTTTTGATTAAGATCATGAACCGATTGATGTTAGACCACCATTGAAAACCTGAGGGCTCACTGGTGACTTGAGGTTAAGAGTTCGCGCGCGAGACCAAAGGCCTTGGGTTCGAATCCTACGAAACGGATCGTGGATGCGCATTGCTGAGGAGTCCCACAACAGGACGAAATGGCCATCCAGTGCTTCTAGGTTTTCAGTCGGTTCATGATCCCAGTCAAATATCTATTTACTCTGAAGAAGTCACTTAGAATAAGTCACGCAACGCCAAAAATGCAATTTTCTACTCATCATAAACAATCTATTTCGTATTACCAAATCTAACTGTTGTATTTTGATGAAATTATGTTTGTTTTTTTAATTTCATTGTATTCATTATATTGATCCTTATTATTAATGGTATTGTTCTTGTTCATGGAATATTTCAGTTCTGTAACACATGAACCGGATAGTTTCATCTATTTTTACGTGGAGAAGTATGCTGTACTACTTTATAAATCAGGATAGAGCTTCACTATGTTTAACTCACTTATCAACTTAATAATAATGTAACTTATGTGAAGAAATAATGTTTGACTTATAAATTGTAGGCAACTTTTGTGTTAAAATGTTAATTTCTATTATTATTATTATTACTATTATTACTATTATTATTATTATTATTATTATTATTATTATTATTATTATTATTCATATAATGAAACTGTTAATACAATAGTTATACAGTCAGTATGCTCTTTATATTTTATCACTTTCGCAGAACCTTAACTTTATCACAGAAGAACACAACTCGCATAAAGTGTACTTAAAGTGTAGTAATAAGGAAGGATAGTTCTATTTGTATTACATGGTACTTGTAATCGTCTGCAACTAGATAGAAAAGAAAAACAATGTTTTAGTACGTATTGAAGACGTGAATTATAGCATGTTTTGTGAATAGACGAAATTGTAATGATTTTATTAACCATCTAACATATTTCAGTTCATTGAAATTACGTTATCTTCTAACTGAACAATATCTTTATGCCATACATTGTTCAAGGTATGATTTAAATTGTTTACATATACTTCTGATACGAAGAACTGTGTAGTTATTTGATAGCGAATATTTGTTGCATGTGATTAGGATTTTGAAAATCTTTTGTTCTATGGATTTAGTGGTTTCATTGCCTTTATAGATAGGATCGTTTGTACATAATTTAAAAAGCAGTTAGTTGTTAGGATTTATCCACAGTTAACCAACAGTTTGTTCTGATGACCTAGAATTTGATGTATTGTTATTCACGTGTTTTCTTCATTTATCATCCCTCTGTTATATCTAGATTTTATATTCTTAATATACCGCATATAACTTGAGCATTCGAACGTTAGAAGACAGAAGACCGGAGTAAGTGTTTTTTGGGCAGGAATCAAAATGTACAGAAGATCATAAGTATTTATAGATATTAGCGTTTGTTAAATCAACTTTATAATCCAACTAATCTACGAAGAGGTCAGTAGTAGCATGACACATTGAGTTTTTCGAAAGATCCTTGATAGTTCGCCGACCAATCCCGTTTTGTATTCTTCTCTAGCAGGTGGTTTAGTTGAGCAGGCAGGTGATAGAGATTACGGAAGAACGTACCACAATGACTGACAAATCCCAAGGAAGATCGTAGGGTAGGGATACCCCTAGGTCTAGGCATAGTTTCCAGAGCTTTGATTTTCTTTGAATCTGGTTGTTTTCCATCGTTATGTATTATGAAACCGAGATATCGTACCTGCTGCATATAAAGGTCACACTTTTCCACGCGGAGGCGAAAACCATAATCGGACATGCTTTCTAGCACCTGATCCGGTTTTTTCTGGAAGCCTATTTTGTCTGCTCCCATAATTATGATATCGTCTAAATAAGCTACAGCTCCTGAAATACCTTGTAACATGTTATCCATAATTTGCTGGAAAATAGAGGGCACCGTCTTCACTCCAAAAAGTAGTTGATTATGTCGTAACAGACTCTTATGCATGTTGGTCATTAAGAGATATTTACTTTCATCAGATACAGGGATTTGTAAATACGCGTTCGATAAATCTAATTTCGCAAAATGCCTGCTGCCATTCAGTTTAGCGAAGAGATCTTGCTGGAGGGGTAAAGGATACTGATCAGACTCTAGAGTTTCATTTAGTCCGGTGAAGTAATCTGCACACAAGTGAACGCTTCCATTAGACTTCGTAACCGCCACTGTTGGTGCAGCTCAATCTGAGAAGTTTTCAGGTTCAAGAACACCCATTTTCTGAAGCCGTTCTTATTCCTGTTCAACTACTGGAAGGGCAGCATAAGGCACGTGTCTCTTAGGTCGAAAAATGAGAGTAGCTCCATTTTTGACGGTTAGTAGTGCTTTGGTTTTCATACTTTCTCCCAATCCTTCTATAAACACGTGGTGGTGTCTTTGTAGCACAGCATTTTTCTGCTTCCACTCTAAGGGGCTATCAGTTCTGATTATGCTGCAGATGCTGCTAATCGAATGCTTTGCTAGCTTTATTGTCTCTGTCAGATCTAATCCCAACAAGTAAAGTGCTGGACTTTTTGTAAAGTATGATATTGCATTCGTTGTCACACTAACTTTAAAAATAGTGCAGGTTACTTCACCAACAATATTTAACTACCCACCAGATACACTGTCCGCTAGTTGTGTTGTTGGATAAACTGTGGGTCTCCCAATTTTCCTCCAAGTTTCTGGGTTGATGAGAGTGATATCAGGTGCTGTATCAAGTTGCAGGTAAGCACGCTGTTTATTAATATCCAAAGTTACGTGCTTTCTTCGGCAGTGAATTTGTGCTCGGTTAGGAGATGTCATTATTTTGTGAGTTATAACACCAGATCTGTATTTCTTCAAATAGATTTTCAAAGGATGACGGTGGGTTCTTTTTCTGCAGCTGGATTCTTTATGGCCCTTACGATGACATTTAGTACAACCATGGTTTTTATATGGGCGAAATTTCTTGTAGTGCCACTCACCGCATAACCAGAAGGAGGATGGAGGTTGTTTGTTTGAACTGTCTTGCTTATGTATAAAATAAACTTTCCGGCCACTCATTACCTTTACTTATAAGCTTCTAGAATACGAATCTGGAACTGTTCGTAAAGTTTCTTCATGACGCTCTAGCGAAGCTTCAACTTGTTCAAAGACAATTGACATTTTGATAGGTTAACCCCGTGGCCAGTTTTTATATCATAATCTTATGTTCTTAATATACCGCATATAACTTGAGCATTTGAACGTTAGAAGACAGAAGACTGGAGAAAGTGCTTGTTGGACAAGAATTAAAATGTACAGAAAATCATAAGTATTTATAGATATTAGCGTTTGTTAAATCAACATTATAATTCAACTAATCTGCGAAGAGGCATGTTATACTACTGGTCAATAGCAACATACCACATTGATATTCTAAAAAGCTCCACCATGTTCTGATTGGATGCAACTCTTCGGCTCATCTAGGACCTCTGAAGGCTCTATTGTAGTTCTTGTAAGCTGTCCCAACAACTTCCAGACTTGATCTCTGATCTTAAAATTCTTCATACTTTTTTCTTATCGATTGATTGTCATATGACTCTTGTTTCAGTTATAAGTACAGTGCCAACTTCCAGAAATACAGAACATTTCAGTTTACCACAACTCTGCTCATACATCTCATTTCTTCAAATGCCGATATCTATCATCTATCAATGTTTATTAAAAACCTTCAAAGCTTTATTTAAGCAATGTATACACATAATCAAATACATGATGACATTACGGAGGGGACTAGTTTTTAAATGTAAAAAAAAGTGTCAAAACATGTGAATAGTTTATTGAATAATGAGTCTAGTTTTTGTTGCTAATTTGAAAAAGAAACACTATCAACTACATGGTAACACGCGTAAATATATCAATCTAAAACACGACACTTTTATTATGGAATGTAAATTGATCGATAATCAATAGAAAAGAAAAAGGGTATAATCAACTTTTTTTTTAATTTTGTTTACACATGTGATCAAAACAAAAAAAATGTAAATGTTTTCTAGAAAAAACATTCATACGTGTGGTACTATTGACTAGTATCATGCTACAATGGTAATATCGAAATCATTTAATCAGTATAGAATATGTGATCAGCTCAATGTAGTGAGTCATTGTATCGTTGAGATGACTGATTTCATAAAAGAACAAACAATGTCTATCAATACAAAGATTTGAAAAATAATCAAAACTGATAGAAAATAGTGCAAATAATAGACAACTTTTAAGCTAATTGATTGTAATTTAGAACAACATATATATTAGTGAACAATATTGTTTTCGATTAGATTCTCATCAAGCTTTAGTCTAATATACGGCTGTTTCGTCCTATTGTAGAACTCCTTTGCAGTGCGCATCCACGATCCCACCTCGCGAGATTCGAAACCAGGTACTATCAATCTCGAGCACGAGCGCTTAACAATTAAACCACTGAGTCGGCATCTAATATACAGTAATATTTATATGCATATACGAAATTATTAAACCAATCAAGGTAGTTTATGAGACAATGATAACAATGGAATAGATTACATAAAAAAACATTGGTAGTGTAATGAAAGGTTTACTAGTTTTGATAACATTAATAAAAGCTTAAAACAGTGTTACATAATCGGAAATAGGTCAATGATTAAAACAATATAGATATTGTAATAACATTCATAGGAAGTGTTAGCGAGACATAGACTGGATTAAAGCATGTTCAGTGCACGATTGCTTTGGTGCACGCTGATTGGCTAATTCTTATCCAATCAGCACTAGTCGATAGTTGGAGAATACTCTAAAATCTCATGTAAAAACTATAAATATACTAACGTTTTCTCCATTGTGCTTCTCATTTGCTTCTTACTCCCATCTAACCTTGTTGTTTGAAATATAATCTCTTTCCTGTTCAACCGTGTTCTGATTTAGGGACTTGTCGAGTGAATCGGTGTCCGAGAATACTAAGCAATAGGAATAGCTAGGTCATAACCGTAAGAAAGAGATTATAACAGAAAGATTAGAAGATTACGTAATTAGGGCTGTTCAGATAATTATACTATGAAGCGTACATTTGAGAAAAGAAAAGGGTGGGAGGGTGTGAAGAGAAATAAACGAAGAAAGAGTATGGAAAATATTAATAAATAAAATCATTTATTAAGGCCAAGGGCGAGATAAGGGAGTTGAAAATTTCTTATGAACACAAAGACTTAGATTGTTGGCTCCAATTCTTATAGCTTCTGCTATGTGCAAGAGATGAGATCGAACACTATAAGGAAAACAAGTAGGAATACAACCTTCAGTATTCTTATCAAAACTAGTACACTTTTCATCACAGTACCAATTTGTACTTTTTAATTATTATGTTTATTTACGTAATCTATATCATTGTTATCATTGTCTCATAAACTACCTTGATTGGTTTAATAATTTCGTATATGCATATAAATATTACTGTGTATTAGATGCCGATACAGTGGTCTAATGGTTAAGCGCTCGTGCTCGAGATTGATAGTACCTGGTTTCGAATCTCGCGAGGTGGGATCGTGGATGCGCACTGCAAAGGAGTCCTACAATAGGACGAAACAGCCGTCCAGTGCTCAAAGGTTTTCGTTGGTGGTCTAGCTTCAATATTTCGATTGAATTCTGTATAACATATGAATTATGAAACTATTTTCTTAAGTAAATATATCGAAAAAATGAACAGTTTGTAACTATTAATTAAAGATAAAAAGAAATAATCATTTTATTATTATGGAATAAATAAATGACGGATTATTGAATGAAATGTATTTCTATAGCAGATTTGTAGAGCTTTTAGTATTCTCCCGGTTGAAATCAAGACCACTGTTAGAAGCTAGATGGACGTTTTATCTTAGTATAGCTTTCATAAGAACCATACATTTACGATCCCTCACTCGAAAACCAAGCACAGTACCATCGGTCCTGTGTACGAACACTTGACTTCTAGACCGTTCGATCCCAACTCAGTGGTCTATAAGTTAAGTGTTCACGTGCGAGACTGAAGGTGCTACGTTTGATTCTTGAGTGTGGGATAGTGGATGTCCATTGCTCATGCGTGTCATAGTAAAACGAAACGGCCACACAGTGCTTCATTGCTTGCATTGGTGATCTAAATAAGATCAGTTCGGTAGTTTAAATGTGAATACAAATCTAATTCTTTGGATCAATGCCTATGTTGACTGTCATTGTATTAATAAACTGAACAATATATTTAGTAAGCACCACACGATATTATCTTAAAAACCATGGACATTACAAAACTGCATTTATACTACCATAATCCAAGTTAGGATACAGAGAGAATATGACAGTTTAGAAAAAATAGTAATCAACAGTTTAAAACTTGGAAATTAATCATGA